TACATATGTATATGTATATACATATATTTAAGTGTAAAGTGTTGTAAATACATAAAAAATAATATTACAAAAATTTTACACCCAAACAAATTTAAATGGCCTGGTAAACTAAACATTTATTCATGAACAAAAATGTTTACATATAATGGGTTTTTACATGATTTACTTTTATACAATTGCTATTTACCTTTTACTACATGTTTATTTTTATCCTGTTCTGTATTTGCTTTCAACGTCTCGCGACATTGAAGAAGGATATTTGACAACATATTTTACTCACTTTCGATTACAAGACACTCAGATGAAAGCGATTTTCTCACATTGTATGTTAAGGGTATCCAAATATTGTAGTCTTAAGTGGAAACGGATTTATCATAAATTATTTTTCAGACTCCAAAGTCTCAGAAACAATTATTTAAAATAGACAAAATACCTCCTGTAAAATAAAATAAATTAAAATGCTTTGAGCATCAAACAACTGAAGGTTGGGCTGATAACTTTGATATTAAATTTAATGCCAAAGTAGTAGTAGTTTAGTTTACTTAAGTGTAGAGAATGGACTTTTTACGTATTATTTCCTACACGTGACTGTAAGAGGGAGGCATTGTTTGATAAATACTTAACAAAAGCGTCACTGTCTAGACGGTATTAATTCACAAGCTGCAAAGAAACTTAAATAAACGTACATTGATTGTCGTCTCCAAGTTTTATATAAAGCGTAATTATGTTGTTTGTTCCTTAGATTCTTAATTGACATAGATCATTCTTTTCTCGGTAAAGGCAATCAAGGAAAATATGGTCCTTATATTACTACATAGAGTGATATGCAATTAATAAAAATGTTAATTTCATTTCTCTATACTGTTAAGATAATCATCTATATTTCTTAGGAGTTAAAATTACTACTTATACTTATTTAATTTATATAAAATCATTATAAATATACATTATCTGTTTCTAATTTCTTTTTCTATAAATACAAACCCTTGCAGTTACGTGAGCACTTGAGCAATTCAATCTGTTAGCATGCAATATACGAATGAAAATATCTACGACGGGATGAATAAAAGATTTTTAGCGTATCAACGGTACTACATATTTAAACCTTCATGATAACCGAGAAGTATTTTTTATATTCTATAATAGGGGCAAAACCTTACGTTTATGTTAGATATCAAGTGGGTGAACGGGATATCTGATTTCTGCGATGAAAATACTTATTGTAAGGTCCAAACAGTGCAGTCATTCTCGCGGACATGAAAAGATTTTCCCAGTACTCATGGCGATTTAAGCTTTTAAAGTAAAACTAAGCCTGTCTAAGCATCAAATTAATAAAGCTGGTGTCCTTTAAACAACTACTGTATTAATAACATGTGTGACATATATACATATATACATATAACGTAATTTAAAGTAAAATTTTGTAGATTTCTTGGACCTCATTATTTTATCAATTATCGCTAACAGACTTTATCACCTATTTAATAAACTTCACTGTTTGTCAAATTTTCACAGTGAAAAAATATTTATTGAAAACGCATATATATTATATAAATATGCCAAATAATTTTACTTTCTTAATAATTATTATTTATGTGTACATCACCGAGAAGATGTAAAGCTAAAGGATTTTATAAGTAAGTTGTTAAACGGTCCATTTCAAGTTTACTTCCTCTGTCGATTTTCAGTCTTAACGAACCGTAACTAATGCGTTCCGAGATGGAGATTTTCATGTGATATAGCGGTATGAATGATATTAAAATTACTGATATTATTTTTATTACAGAAAACTATTTTTCGGATTTAATTATATATTTTTCAATCTAGAATTTTGAATACTTTGTAATAAACGTAATAAGAGAAAACGTGATAAAATTGTCAATAGGGAAAGTACTTATCCAAGTTTATACCTTTTGAGAGCGAGATGGTCTTTTTTATTGTTTTATTGTTGGAAAGTCATTTCGAGTCCCTCGCCTTTGAATACTAGTCTTCTTCTGGCCACTCTAGTCTTTTATTAATTATACCATACTTTCTACTTCCTAGGGTAGCCCTGTTGGTATATTTTTGTAGGATCTGGTAATGAGCTAGTACTTTTTTTTAAGGAATATACACCTAGCGTTGTCAGTCTATCTGGACATGGTTCAATTATCACGCTGAAGAGATACATATCTTAAAATTATCTTGCCTTCTAAATATTGTGGTATTTCCTTAGGGATACGAAGTTTTGTAATTATTAATACTAACATTCTTTAAATATGTAGTAAATGTTTTTAAAGATGTCAATAAAGAAATATCCTTTAATAAAAAGACAAGGTCAATCAAATAGAGATCAAAATAAATATTGTTTAAGATAAAATCTTATTTCGATTAGGTTAAATCTAAAAAGTGTGGTGTCAAAGTGAGCAAATCAAAAAGCACACATTCAAAAGGTGTAGATTTCCTCACATACGAATACGAAGGCAACATATATGAATAATTCAGTAACCTTGTCTGTTTGTGGTACCTAATAAATATAAAATTAGACACGGATGGTTTGTATCACTATACAAGACCTACGACGCTAGCAGTATTGGGCATATTAACCAACTGAAAACATTACATATTTCTTAAATATTATATAACTTCAAAGAATTGAAGTAAGAAAACAACAAGAAATTTATCAGAGCATGTACAAAGCATAAATTTCAAGACCCAAGTTGTTACTTAAAGAGTAATCGTTGACAATTAATTAAAGCGATACAATTATAAAAGCCAATAATTTACTCGAGGTCTTCGGAGTTCCGCGCTGCTGAGACCTACTTGTTTCTGCCCCTTTATCTAAAATAAAGCATAATTTTCTTTTGTAAATTATTAATTTTATATAAATTGCTTTCATCTTTAATTATATAACACACTTCTGTCCTTAATTATAGTTTGAAAATGAGACGACTTTAATAAATAATCTTCATTATATCTACAAGTGCAGGAAATATGCACACTGTTAAGTGGGTCTGCGTTTTGATAAAATATTAAACATATTATTGTGAATGAAATATTCGATCTAATTATACTGAAAACATTTAGTGTAATTTATTCAAAATTGCTAATACTTTTAAGCTTTTATGTTGCCTCATGTTAATGTTGAATACTCGTATAATCCGATAGATTATATATTTACAACCCAAAATATTTAACCACAATTGTAAAGTTAAACTCAACTTGACAGATTGGTAGAGGCTAGATTAATTGCAATTATTGAAATTTTTTTATTTCATTATTCTATATATGAAACAAATTGAAACACGCATATATATAATATGCGTGTTTCAATTTGTTGTATAATGGTACAATTCAATGTAAAAGATTACAGTTATGACATTATGCGGTAAAAGTGGTCAAAATAAGTCGCTTAACTAGCGAAGTCTTATTAATTCGCTTTCTGCCTTTTGTCTAAATACATTTAGTTTAGTAAGTATCGTAAGTTAGATCGGAATGTCTTCCGATCGTGGATTGCGCTACTACTAGAATCGTCGACGAACTTAGTGGTAGCAAAGATTATTTCGTTTAGGGATGAAAAGAGTTAGAAAAGAGTATATTTAAATATGAAATTTAAAGAATGGCATGAAGCAATTGAGAATTTAATTCAAAGACACTTTAAACCAAGGTTTCTTAAGAGTTTTATAATAAAATTTAGTATAACAAAAATTAAAGAGTTGTTATTTCCTTTTCAAAAAATTGAGCCAGAATTTATAAATGTTTCTTTACAGTAATTATTTTTCACACGCCTATACCGAGGATTTAATTTGAGTCGATATGTTAGTTTTTGGAGAGTCAGCGAATGGTTACTTTCGGATTTTAATAGCAATGTTATTATCAATAAAATCTGCTTTACCATTTTTATTTAATATAGTTATACTACCTGAACTTCTTTGAAAGTGGCCATCTGCAAGGATTTGGTAATCATAAATTAATACTAGTTTACCCGATTGTGGCTTCTTTATGACAGAGGTTTGTATTTCTTATTACCATAGACAGAGAACTCTGTGTAATTTTGATGTGTATGAGGATAGTTGCCCGGATGGTAGTCTAGCCACTGTGTTTAAACCATTTGTGTTCGAGATGTTTTATTTTTTTTATACTAAAAGGGGGCAACCGAGCGTCTGCTCGGCCGTCTAGGCCGTCTGGCCTACCTACTAATACCTCTAGGCTGGTATTAATAATATCACCATCGGCTTTTAAGCCCATCGGGGTATATGTAAAAAGACTTATTGGTAACCGCAATTTGGTTATTTGGTGTTTGGAAAATCATTATATTATTCCTCTATCACCTTTTTTCCATCAATTAACCAGTCACCTGGTCTTTTTTTATTGTATTTCTTCCTCGCAGAAGCGAGATCGGACAGGTGGACGAAGTGATACATTTTCTCCTTTGTCAATAAACTATCATAATTTTGTAGGGGTTTTGCCTCAGTTTTTGGTTTCCTGGAGCGTACTATGTACTTTAGATGACCTCAATAAAGTGAGCGAGTAGGTTTTTAGGTAGTAGGTAGGACTTTATTAATCTATTTACAATATATGGATACATTCTACTTACAAGCACGAAGAATAATTATACACTATTCAGTTTTAATATTTATAAAACAGTTACACATTGAGAGCTTAATAAGAAATAAAAATTAATTTTCCGGTATCGAATAAATATCATATAAAGTGTCAAATCGATAAGAATGACAATAATTTATGTCATTCTTTCCCGTTTAACTTTCCTATTCAAATCAATTTGGCACAGATAAGCTTTATTATAAATTACTAATCATTCAAAATATCCTCAGTTTATATTTAATATAGCAAACGGTAACATGCCGTCAATTATTGTTGACCAGGCACGTGTAATTATATTTTTGACTATATTTTTACAAATACAAGCACAAAAACAAATTTTTTTGGATCAAAATGAATGTGGCTACAATAATAAATTGGGAGGATATTTATCTTTACTTAAACCTAAAGTACTGCACATTATGGGTGAAATAAGAAGTGGAATTGGATCTCGCGATTATTATGAAATGTAAGCATAAGGAAGAAAAATTATTAAAATAGTTTTTTTTTTCTAATTTGACTTTAAATCACAATGAAATTACTGTACATAACACAACACTGTTTGTTTCCCTGATTTTTTATGTAGTTTGACGTAATGTTATGTTATTTATATATCATTTAGAATCAAGACTAGTAATGGTTACGAAAAAACTCAAAAATAACAGAATTAATTACGATTTTTTTTTACATGATATTAGAAGTTGGACTATGTAATAGCTACAATAAATAAAGGAACAATATTGGAATAAGTCCTTTTATATTTATTTAAAATCAATTTTGCAGGTATTCTAGTTTCATAGACAAATTTGGACCACGTCCATCAGGAAGTGAGACACTCGAAAAGGCAATTGACTATATGAAAGATCTCACAATCAAGCACGGAGTACATGATGTTCACACTGAGGATGTCATGGTATATTTCTTTTAATTTACAGATTATAATTTAATATTGTATAATAATAATATTATAAAAAAAATAAACAATTTTTCATCCTAATTCTAGGTTCCTGAATGGAAACGTGGCCATGAATCCCTTAAAATGATAAGACCACGACTAACGAAACTGTCTATTCTTGGCATTGGACTCAGCGTTCCAACGCATGGAAAAATTAGAGCAGAAGTTATTGTGGTATCTAGTTTTGAGGAATTGGAAAGAATCGATAATGCCATAATTAAGGGCAAAATCGTTCTTTTTAATGCTCCTTTTACTACTTATCAAAATACTATTCAGTACAGAAGAAATAGTGCCGTTAAAGCAGCTAGAAAGGGTGCTGTAGCAGTTTTAATTCGAAGTATTACTCCTAGATCCTTATATACAACTCATACTGGAGATTTAGTTTATGAACCCCACGTTAAAAAAATACCAGCTGCAGCAATTACAATAGAAGATGCTGATCTTTTACAGCGAATTTATAACCGTGGGGAAGTTATTGTTGTAGAAATGCAAATGTCTAATGAACTGAAAGTAAATAAATCTAGAAATTTAATTATTGATGTAAAAGGTTATGATATTCCGGATAAAATGGTTATAGTTTCTGGACATATAGATAGTTGGGATGTCGGTCAGGGTGCTATTGACGATGGGGGTGGTATGATGATTAGTTGGTTTGTGCCTGTTGTTTTAAATTACCTTAAATTAAAACCGAGAAGAACTCTGAGAGTAATATTATGGACGTCTGAAGAAGTAGGCCTTAATGGTGCAAAATCCTACATGAATAGACACAGTGATGAATTGGATAACATAGATTTTATAATGGAATCTGATGAAGGAACATTCAAACCTTTGGGTTTGGAAGTAGCTGGACCTAAAGACCTTACATGCTTAATTAATGAAATTTTACAATTATTTACACCATGGGATTTAAATAGGTTGAAAGTAGCCAATAGCACAGGATCCGATATTTCTATATTTGTTGATAAGGGAATTCCTGGAGCGTCCCTTTTAAATAAAGATGATCGTTATTTCTGGTATCATCATTCAGATGCTGATACCTTAACTGCTCAAAGTAAGTCTGATGTTCTAGACTGCGCTGCATTTTGGGCTGCAATATCATATCTCATTGCCGAATTACCTGTTAATATTAGCAGAAGTTAAAATTAAAATATCAATCATAATAAAAATATTATGTTAAAGAGCTAAATAAAAAATATCTTATTTATTTATGGCATTTTTTACATGTAAAACCTTTTGGAATTAATGATGTCATTTTTATATGTATTAAATAGTAAAAAATATTCAGTATACATAAGTCGGTGTAAAGCGTTCACTAAAAGCTATTTTTATATTTTTCAATGACTTACGATATGACATCTGAAATAGAAGTGAATATCTTTAAAACCAACCGTATAAATAATTTAAATAAATAAATTCTGCTACATACTTATGTGACTTTAAAAAAGTAAATTATTATTTAATTAATACAAAACCCAGCTCTAAATCAAGTAAAAGTTTAATTTAAATGAAAATATTTTTTTCTACTACATTTTTATGCATTGTGAGCAGCAGCTGCGACTGCTAAAGGTAATGACAATTTATTAATAGTTAGAATTTTACTCCCTCTAGAATATAAATAAGTTTTTGTAAACCTTAGTTAATTTTAATTTGACTACTATTTAAAAAAATCAAGTTACAAAGACTTTTGACTTTTCAAAATAGACAAGATTGTCTTCTCTGTATCTTTTAAGAAGATACTGTGACTTTTTAATTATATTAAAGCAGTTTTATTGAGAGCTTTCGTGCAAGAATACAATCAATGTAATGGCTTTGTGCGTAATTTAGACATACCTAACGTGTTCAAACCTCATTCTGCTGCTACGGGGAGGCACTCTACTTTATCTAATTTTGTTTATAATGTTGTTAATAAATATAATTGTGCTTTTATTCAATTTATTTTTATTAAACCAGCAATATATGAAGTTAAAAATAGAGAATATATATTTAATCATTCATTTCATGAGCAGGATTTGCACTTGCAACTTGCAGGATATCTCATTGTAGTTGTGTTTCCATGACTCGAGTGGGTAAATTAAACACTCATCATATATTTAATCGTAATATCGGGGAAGATTGATCATGGTTGTAAGTTAGTACGTGGAGGAAAATGTTGGAACTAGTAATGAGATTGTTAAGTAGATAAAACAAGTGTAAACAAATTTCTACTGTTACGTTGTTGTCTACAAATAATGTGAATAAATTACTTACATATCTTGGACCTTGTTCCAATGTACTAAAATTTTTGATATGGTGTTGTCTTCATTGAGCAGAAACTTTGAAATAGTTAAATACTCGTCCAACTATATTAGATCAGTCGTGAAAAATAAGAGAAAAGTAATGCAATTATTGAAAATATTAAACTGTTTAAAAATTAATTTTGCTTAAGTTTGTATTGTCTGTTCCACGAGCTACAGCTAGCTTAAAGTGATTAGTAATATTAATGAGTTTTTGGATCCTCATTATTATTTAATATAAGACATATTTAAGTATATATTATTTGATATTTTTAATAAATACGTAGCATCATAATATAAAGTAGAGATAAAATTATGAGATAAATAAAGTAATATATGAAGAATGATAGCTAGTTAATTATAAATAAATAAAGAAGTGAGATTTGTTTCATATACTCGTAATACATAACTATTTATATACGTATTATCTACTAACTATTATTTGAAATAATTCTCCGAATTCAATCATATATAGAAGACCTTGGATACAAATAAAATCACAGATCAATTTGTTTTTATTGTTAGCATTTTTTCGATTGAAAGTTTTGGCTAAATGTTTATATCGCTGCACTTAAAAATAAAAACAAATTAATCATATATTTCAATGCTAACAGTGTTACGAGTATGTTATTTTCTGTAAATATTTAATAAATATACTTACTATTAGCAAGGATTTAGTATTTCACAAAACATATATTTAATATCCATTCAACTATGAGGGTAAACAGGTTGATCCTTCATGATCTCTCTGCCTGATAAAACGAAAAGGATTATCCCAATAACATTGAATAAATTAAGGGTTCTATTCAAATTCTGCTGAATAGACACAGATGCCGTAAATTTTAAGTACACAAAGCCTTAACACTGTCGAATTATAGTGAGTAAGGGTCTTTTAAAATAGCTTAGGTAAATATGTGTATTTTCTATTTTATATATTTTTCATTAAGGTTTATACTAAGTTAATTAAGGGATTGTTTTTGGGTAGATATTTCTTGTATTTATTAATTGAATATTCATTAAGTATAATTTAATTTTAATAGCCCACAGATGATACAGTATTATTGCAAAGTTACCATATTTTTCTGTTTTTATTGGCATTGCTAATAAATATTTTAAAGTTAATAGAAACTAATATTTTAAAAGTATTTGAGTTACCTATAGGTATGTATGTATGTATATGTAATGTTATGATTTACATATTGTTAACAGTATTTATTATATACTATATTTAACTTCAAAAACTATTTCTATATTCTCATATGAAAACATTCGATCTGTATGTATGTTACATCTAAATTCAAACTTGAAAGTGTAATCAATATTCCCTCTACATTGAGATCTACTCAAGCAATGTTATTTGAACATTTCTGCTGGACTTGGTACTTGAGACAGTTTCTCCTCCTCACTATAATGACTGAGGCAATAAGGCAATGACATTGTTTCGTCTCTTCCAATACTAAACATCAAGCCAAACATAATGCACGATTTATTTTTACACTTTCGTTATTTTAAAGGTGACATTTAAAAATACTTTACATAAAAAATACTTTAAATAAATACTTACATTATGGTCTATATACATACATATGTATATATTCAATTTGGAGACTTATGGATACTTCGTCAATTCAGACCGGTTTGTAAATATCGCCATAAAACGAATTTTTTGTTGCCTATTTTTTTGTTTATTGAGACTCGTCATTACCTCATTTAATGGTTTGCATACAAAAGAGTTATAATAACATTCCGGCGATATTTTTACCTGCACAAACATCAAGATCAAATGAATAGAGCGCGTCGTTGATATCAGTCTATTTAATTCGCTCTTCATGATAGTACGTGTGTATGATATATAAGTGTTTTTATTCATGTTTCCTGTGACTATTCTACAATAGTGTTAGCACTATGCAAGTTTTTAAAAGATCATCCGTTTGTTTAGCGGCTATAAATAAAAATATAACAAGGTAAGTACAAAGTAGAATTACTTGAATAAAGTTGAATATTTCATTTAAATAACACTTAAGTATATGTGTAAATACTCACGTTTTGTTGTTTCTGTCTTTTAATTTAAAAACCTTTGTCATTTTTTCGTTAGTTTAAAACTAAATGTCAATTAACAAAAATTATAAAGTTGCAAATATTTAATTACTTTCAATTGGGCAGCTAAAATTAAATATTTATAACATCAACAATACAAAACGCATAAGTATTAGCGGCAACTAAGATTTAAGTAGAGATAAAACTACTTTAAATGTTAAACACTTGATTTTCTTCTTATTTTTTAAAATATTTTATGAGATAAATAATGAAAACTTTTGTCAGTATAATACCAGAAGAAAAATAATTATTTACCTTCATTTACTACTTCTTTATTAAAAATCGCATTTGAGGTACATTTATATGAAGTATTTCCAAATAATATATTAATATTGTGTGTAAAACCATATGATAAAAAATTAAGAACAATAAAATTTTCAGGTCCGTTACAGTGAACAAAGTATCAGTAAATGGCGATGCCAAAGAAATTAAATTAAAGTCCTGGCGAGAAATACCAGGACCGCGAAGTCTGCCTCTAATAGGACAATTGCACCATTATTTTCCTGGAGGTCCGTTATTTTGTCTAAATTGTTATTGGCTGGTTCATTCTAATTGGATCTATACGGCCGAATGCTTATTTATATACATGTATTTTATTTTTTGCGAAGATGTTGTGTTCTATGTGGATAAATATTATATACCACACTGTCTATTGTATACGGCATAAAAGTATTCATTTCAATAAATAACAAATTATTTAACAAGACCTATAACATAATTATGAATATGATTAAGCAACAGAAATAATTTATCTTTTAATTGTAAATAAAGTAATGGAATTAATATTTATAGAAGTAAAAAATAACAACAGCGTTGTTATAGCTTAGTAAGTAGTCACAATACCTATAAGTGTTAAATATCATTAAATAAAATGAAATGTTAATTCTAGACAAGCCTAAATTTTGGCTACAAATTTAAATCATTGTGAATTTGTCACGTATTGAATTATAATTTTGTCACATAATTTTGGTTACACGTTTGACTTCGTATATTTAGCACTATGGTACAAGGTTAATGTGTTTGTAAAAATTCTACAAATGGCGACCATATTATTGTAATACAATTAAATGACAATAGTACAGCTACAATCAACTTCATGCTATACTTTTATTTCTATAAATAATATAGTAACAAGTGTTTACATTCTAGGAATATTAGAAGACCTTTCTTATTTGGGTGATGTGCTATACGAAAATTATGGACCTATAGCTAAATTAGATGGTCAATTTGGTGCAGAACCTGTCATATTTATATTCGACGCGGAAGCCGCATCCCAGGTAGATAATCTTTTTTTTTTTGGAAAACAAAATTTTACCGGTGACAATTCATTAAAATTATTTTTTAAGGTCCTATGGGGAGAAAATAGGATGCCGTACCGGCCAAGTTTTATTTCTTTGGAATATTATAGAAAGGTGTACAGCAATAAAGGGAAAACGGATATAGTGACAGGACTGGGAACAGAGTAATTATTTTAATTTGCTTAAAATTATTAATTATTATTAACAAATAATGAAGAATTGATAATTAATTAATATATTTTAAAATGTTTAAATAAACATTCAAATATTTATACAAAAGGCAAAACGCTAGATGTAAGACAAACGTTCTAATAAATTTGAAAGAAGTTCATAATTATTTCCTAGGAAAAAAAAATTAAGAGTGAACAATCAGTTTTCAAAATATTATATCTGATTTTTTTAATGGATGCTATAACTACAATTAATGATAATTGTAGTTATAGCGTCCATTAATCATATTTAATGTTTCGATTCTTTAATTTCTAGCCATGGCGAAACTTGGAAAAAATTTCGATCAACAGTCAATCCAATTATGCTTCAACCTAAAACAATAATTTTGTACAGTAACACTTTAAATGAAGTAGCGGAAGATATGATTCAAAGGTAGGCATATTATTAAACCGTCTTGAAAATAATAAACAAATATATATTGGAATTGTTGCGTATTTTGAAAATGTTATATGTTTTTTATATTAATTATAGAATGAGGTCCAAACGTAACGAAAAGAATATGATACAAGGAAAATTTGACGAAGAGATGAATCTATGGGCCTTAGAATCTATTGGTGTAGTCGCTCTTGGCGATCGACTAAATTGTTTCGATCCAAATTTGGCAGAAGACTCACCAGTCAAAAAACTGATACAGACAGTTCACGATATGTTTAAATATGCTGACAAATTGGACTTGAACCCAAGTCTTTGGAAATATATTTCTACTCCGACGTTTAAAAAAGCTATGCAATGTTACGAAGATCAGATGACGTAAATAGTTTAAAAAACAGTTGGTTAATTTATTTTATGATTTTATATTAAAATAAATATACTTTCAGGTTAAGTAGATATTTCATTGACAGAGCTATTGAAAAACTAGATGTAAAAAATAATAATGCTAATGAAGAAAAAGGAGTTTTGCAAAAATTACTTGAAATTGATAAAGATGTGGCAGTAATTATGGCAAGCGATATGTTACTGGCAGGAGTAGATACGGTGAAATTAATTAATTTATATATTTTTTATTATTTTTGGAATATACTTATTTGCTAAAGTAAAATAACTAGTAAATACTATCTAGTATCATAATTTTTTAGGCTGCAAATACGATAATTGCAACATTATATTTGCTTGCAACGAATCCGGACAAACAAAACAAATTGAGGGAAGAAATAAAATCACAAAAAGACAAAAAAGCGTACCTTAGGGCAGTACTAAAAGAATCTATGCGTGTTTTGCCTGTCGCTGCGGGAAATATGAGAAAAACAACAAAGGATTACAATATTCTTGGGTATCACATCCCAAAAAACGTTTGTTTTTTCTAGTAACTTCATTTAATGAATAGTATTTAAATATTTTTTTGTTATATCTAAAATTTTATTGTTCCAGATGAAAGTTACCTTTTATCATCAAACAATGTCTAAATCGGACAAAAACTTTCCTAGACCATTGGAATATTTACCAGAACGATGGCTAGCAGAAAAAACTGATCCACTTTATTATGGAAATGCTCATCCATTTGCCTTTGTCCCTTTTGGATTCGGGATCCGAAGTTGTATAGGTATTTGGTCAAAAATTTAGATACCCATTATTACATACCAATAATTATTTATTATCAATGACGATCCTAACTGTTAAGTCTGTACATAAAACATCATGAATCTCATTGTGTTTTTATACTTGCAATATATTATTCCTGTTTGAATATTTAAAATAATTATCTTTTTGAATTATAATAATTAATTAATTTTATTACTTCTGATTGTGTTAACTAAGCCTGATTTTTAAATAGTCAATTTAAAAGAAATGGTCTCATTACTGCGATTAATAAAATATTTTTTGTTTATGATGTGTAAAGGAAAATTAAAATAAAATAGGAAAAAGTATAATAAATTGATAAATTATTTCATTATTAAACTAGAGAACACGTATTAAAAACATACAATATTGTTAAACACAATAGAGATTAATATAAAAATGCATGTCAGATACATAGTAACTGATTGAATAATCAATCAATCAATGACGATTGGACCAAAAATAAACAAAAAAGGACAATAAAATATAATACTATTATATCGTACTTTTTAATCTAAATGTAGTAAACGATAAGAAGAAATAAAGAAGAATTAATGTAATGTATTTTCAAACAGGTCGACGTATAGCTGAATTGGAAACAGAAACCTTCCTTTCCAAAGTAATTGAGAATTTCCATGTAGAATGGTTCGGACCTCCGCTACGTTATCGAACTGCAGCCTTGAATTATATGTGTGGACCTTTTAACTTCGTTTTTAAAGACGTTAAGTAATATTAAATGCTTTTAAAAGATAATATTGTCAGTTAAATAAATTTTATATATTTATTATACAAACTGTTTTTCATTGTTTTATTATTATAATGAGGTATATTACGGAGATCTCAAGGATATCCGATAAATTGATAAGAATTATGATATTGAACTTGAAAGATAGTAGATAACGTTTTTATCTCGTTTTATAAAAGAAATGATTTAATGCGCAATAACTATTAGTGCAATTATTGTCATAATATTGATATTATTATATCTTAATTAGTATTTATGTTATGTGAAATACATAACACAATATATATTTTAATGAATTAATTATTTATTATTTGATGGCCCACGAGGATGTTTAATAAAGTAGGTTATTATTATATTTTATACAATTCAAATTATTGAATAGACCTTTTGCTTACAAAGTTGTATTATTAATGTCTTTGAGCCCGGTCTTTGTTATTCGTTTGTTTCAAAAGATATGAGAAATAATTATGAAAACTAAAATGATGTAGAATAAAATGTAATACAAAGTATTATACAAAAAAAAAATCACATGTTGTTAATATGCATATAGTAATTTGGAGAATTATCATTTAATATTACTTCTTTACGTCTCTTATTTACAATACATTAGTTTAGTTTTATGATTTTCTTGTTTATGTATTTTTGTAATTGAATCGTCTTATTCAAATTATCTTTAATTTTGTTACAATATCTTAACTTAATAAAAAATAATATTTGTAAATATACGTAACGATATCTATGTTTATAGCATTTGTCAAATCATGTATTTTTGGGATAAATAAAGAAACATAACTTTGAAATTATTTAAATTATAAGATACTTACTCGTATAATTAGTGGATTCGTGGACTCGTATTATTATATGGTTCTGAAATTAAGGGAACTTTCGGGAAAATTAGGTTGAATCCTCATAAGCTACTTTAATTCTTACTTGAAAATAGCGGATTCATCTTTTCGCCAACTACAAATAGGGTATCATATTAAACGGCTAATTGGAAAAGGAATGAATTAACTTAAATTACAATGCAACAAGATACCTTACAAATGAAGGCAGATTATCTTTGTACATTAACTTAAGTAATTATGTACATACAAATGTGTTAAATATATAATTGGATAAAAAAAACCATTTAACAAAATATTAATTGTAAACTTTACAAAAACAAATTTCCATCTCTCATCATTCACCAACTATTGTTATATTGAAAAAGATAAGTGATCACATAATATCTAACTTTAGTAATATTTAGCTAGTATTTGAATTAAAATAAAATAATAGGTATAAAGAGAAAGTCAGTTGTGGCCTAATGGTTAAAACGCCCGCCTCTCATGCATGAGGGCGCGGGTTTGATCCTAGCCTTGGCAAGAAACAATGTGATTTTTCCGAGTCATATGTAAAGTACATACTAAGAGTATTTAGACATCACTGATTAATGCATTCCCAAAGAGGGTTGATGTCAGGCAAGCGGTGGGTCGTAAAAACAATTAGCCAAAACTATTCATAACATATAAGGCAGACCCTGGCTAAAGCTGGGAAATTGCAAGGAAGAAGAAGAAGGTATAAAGAGAAAAAAATCATCGACACGACCAAGATTTGAACCTTCAACCCCCAGAATATCGTTTACCAGTTGGCAACGTAAGTTAAACTTGAATACGATTTTTGTTATTACAAATTCCTTTAAATTGCATTACTCCATGTTTATTTTTGGGTGAGTATTTAAATAATATGAACATATTTATCTTATCTTGTATTATATTTAAATAAATATACTGATGTCTGACTTTCGCGATTACATTTCTTTTGTTTATTTTTATAAAAAGCAGAATATAAAAATATATTATAATAAACAGTTCATTGTTTTAATCTAGATAAATACATCAAATCGTGAAAAATTTTGTGTTATACTATATTATTAGATATATTGAAAACAGAACTAAGGTTTTCGGCAAATAATAGTTTTAATTTGAATATATGTTTTGAATTAATCAAAATAATTTTACTTACTACATACTTGACAAAATTTTAAAAGAACTATGCAAAATATACCCTTAACAAATACCCCATGCGCTAGCTATCTTACTATTCCGACTACAAAGGCTACAGTGCCAAGTTGACCCACGAGGCTATTTAAGATTAGTTCCACAAGAGCTTCTTATCTAAAGTGTTGCCTAAAAACTTTGTGAAACCGTTTAGAAATTCCTCCGTTTTAAAAGTGAATTGACAACTATGCTACACTTAGCTTTGTACATTAAATAATTTTTGTTTCAGATAATTATAAAACATCGATTGAACTTATTATTTATGTCATTAATGCAAAGTACCGAAATGTTCAGAGAATGGATTAAATACTTACTCGTAATTGCTCTGTATCAAAATAAAAATGTTTTTCTGTATTATTTTTTTAATAAGTAAATTAATGAATTAAAACTCAATTATTAAATCGTGTGAGAGCTACTTCTTTCTGTATTCATTGCTGTTAAGCACTATGTATTAAAAGTAAACCATTATTTAAATAAATGATCATAAGTAACGATTTGACAATATATATTATTTATAAAAATTTCCTTAATTATTCTTTAAGGATTAAAGGTACAATTTAAAAAATGTCTAATAAAATAACAAAATACATATATATCTGAAAAAGAACATGAAATAAAAACATTACCCTATTAGTTACAATAAAAGTTATAGTTCCCTATACATATAAACTTGTTAGTTTTCCGTAACTTTTTCAGTCCTCACCCACATATTTAGACGGTTTTATGTCTAAAATTATTTTATCCACTTGGGTTTACAATATATAAGTACATCTATCTATTGTGAGACAGTTTTGTTTTTAATTTTAAATAATGTTTACATTTTACTCAATTTTATTTTGACATTTTATTATAAATTTAAAACGGTATTGCTTCGAATTTCATTCAAATAAGCTATAGTTAACAATTTATAATAAAAGTGATATAGATTTTTTAAGTTGACCTTTTAAATATTTTGACCACCCAACAGCAATAAAAATATAATGGAATATCAAAATAGTGTCGCTTAGTTAAGTGATGCTTAATGAGTGCATTGCTTGATATAAAAATTGTTTTTTGAATCCCTGGCTGCATCATATTGCTTACCATTTTTGTTAAGAAGTTCTTCCCTTCCTGTATTATGGTTATGAAGATTACGAATTGACTACCTAAATTCACCAAAATTATCCGAGATAGATAACTTAATTATTGAAGTAATCGCATATCTAACTTGGAAGTGAAACGTTAAATCTGTCCTGTTAAAAATATATATTATCTCCTACAGCTGATTCTTGCTCATATATGAACTATGAACATATTGGTATAGGAATCATTTTATAAATAGAAACAGAAGATGTTAGTATTGGATTAGATAGAATGGATAGAATTCAACCAATTATTTTCACATACTTATGCAAAATGTGTTTCTAAAAACTGTAACGTTTTGTTTTTAAGAACCAAAAGTAGGTTTTTGGTTATTGTGCTAAAAGTTTTACTGTTTTAGAAGTTAATGTTAATGTTGTCATGATTCAATATTCTCTAAATATTTGATAAAAATAGTAAAATGTTATGTTGCTGTCCTTGAATTTCATTTATAATTTAAAACAGAATAAATCGGTAATGAGATCTTAGATTTTCCCGAGTATTCATTTAAGTGAAACTTATATTTTCGGATTTACTACGCGATTTTTATTTTTGATTATAAACTACATACTCCCGACGTTTCGGTTACTTTACAGCAACCGTGATCACAGGCAGACGAGATGATCGCGTTGTAAATCCGAAAATAACAGTTTCATTTAGAATAAGTCCGTATTTATAAAATGATACATAATAATATAAAGTTATTCAGTATTTTCATTGAATATTTAATGATCCATAAATAGAGATCATACTAAAACTATATCTACTATTTTGTAAAATATTTATTTCATATTCATTCAACTATGAGGGTAAACGGTTTGACCCTTCATGATCCCGCTGTCTGATAAAACGAAAAGGATTATCCCAATAACATTGAGTAAATTAGATCTCTATTCAAATTCTATTAAATTCACAAATATCTTCTAAATTGTATGTACACGAAGCTTTACTACTTACGTTACGTTACTGTTACGTGTTAGAGCGTGCCATGACTTAAATAACTTTTTATGTTTTTATTCTTATTGTTCACAAGCTGTAGTAATTAGATTTATTCTGAGTGAAGATACTAAATTTTTATTT